GCAGAACGCAGCGGTCTTGTTCTTAAAACTTGAACTGTTTTAACTTGAAAACGCTACGCGTATGGCGAAAATCGCTTAAAGCGATGGCGAGACGCGATTTTTACCAGTCAACGTTGACATGATGTATGTTTACAGAGACCAACTGCTAAAATAATTTTCTCCGACAGAAAGCGGTAACGTCTTCTTAATGCAGCTGCGTATATGTTTAGCGCTGTCCTCTTGTCCGGCTTCGCGTCGAATTCCATCTCTCCGCACGCGCGCGCTCGCTCGCGCTTTCTCTCTGGCACGAGTGAACAAGCCAGCGAGGGCGGGCGCGTGCGCACGCGGGTGTCCCTCCTCCGCAGTTTGGAGTTTGTGATGTGTCTCAGACTCCGCGAGCACCGCGCGAGAGCGAGACCTGCGGAGTGAACGCGCCGGATCCTGAAGCGACCGTTACCCTCCAACAGGCGACCTGTCCTTCTCTCTCCTGATTTCACCCGTATTCCCTCACACCAGCGCTTTGTTTCAACGCCGCCACACTTTTTGGTTTATCACAGGTGTATTTGCAAACATTTGACGTACTTTTCTCACTCATTTGGGAATTAACGGACATCTGAGGATCGTGTGGATGCGCGGCTTTGGAGAGAAGCGGAGATGGAATTGCTGATAATATGCCTTTCTTTTGGGATATTGCAATGCAGTTCGGTGGGAGCCGACTCCATCATTCACATCGGTAAGGAGTGAGCTGTTCAAAGCCTTTATTTGTTTTAAACGATAATGAATGCGCCATCCAAAATGAGAGGACTCTATGGGAAGTGTGTTGTAGGGGGTCGGCGTTAAATATCCATTGTAAATAAGCATTGAAAATGTGCCCCGCTCAGCGGGCTGAATATCAATTGAGCAGACCACTTGTGATGATAACGTCTCTCTTGTTCAGATTGCCGATAGATCCATGGCACTGACAGATGCATGGGTAAAACTAATCTAATTCCAGTCTTAGCAGGTTGTTCACGAAGAACGCTTAATTGTGTAAATCGCATATTCCAGGTAAGTTGGAAAAACAGGAGGTGTCCGTCATAAGACAAAGTAAGCCAATGTGTGTGGGTAGCTTTCTCCCCCTCCCATCTATAAGATTGAACTTTGTATGGAACGTGAAGGAAATCTTAATAAAGGATGCATGCTGAAGTAAATAAATGACAAGAGGACAAATGCTTATTCTTGGCTATCCCAGGCCGTAAATGTCATCTTAACCAATCCCCTTTGGGTGTGCCAGACACCCTGTGCATTCTGATTATCTCACCAAACGTGAGGAAAGAAAGATTTTGGCTCCAACAGCAGCAAGAGAGGAGGAAGAGGGGCTGCTGGGGAGGGCGGCAGTGGCTCTATTCAGTTGTCATGAAGAACTCAAATCCAAACACTTATCTATCATACCGAATCAGCCATTGGCTCATTAAAGAGAAGATTTATTGGAATCGGTGAAAATAAGCCACCATATTTGGCTCATTTTGGCTTGTCTCTAAATTCTAATTGGCCTTCAACATAACTACTTGTCATTCTAACCTTTTATATCAAAAACACATCATTTTGGGTTGCCAAAACTGACCTAGTGTGGTCGGTTGTCTTATATTTTATTCCAACTAGCTATAACTAATTATAATGAGTGATTCTGGCTTGTTTATTCAATCTATGTGTTAGGTACATGGCTGCCCAGTATAATTGACCAAGACCTTGGGAATGATTCAAGAAAGCAGTTTTAAAAGCATGCAAAGACTAGATCAGGCATTCACACATTGAAATCATGTGTATTAAAAGCATTTGAGACGTTCTGAACTGTGGTGGATGCGATATGCAGAGTGAAATTATGCTATATCCTTATGCACTCAGAAATAATTATATCTACAGTTTGTTCTCAGATAATTCAGTTTAGCTACCAGTTGCATGGGTCTAGGTCAGAAAATCCACTTCCATCACCACCTTTAAAGATGAGATCTTCCAAAGTTTTCATCCAGCTTTTTCGTTTAAGCGCAGACGAGGATGTATCTGTGGCAGGGCTCAAAGGTGCACAACGCAGGTGAAATAACAAATTCCAGCCTCATGCAAAGACTAGATCAGGCATTCACACATTGAAATCATGTGTATTAAAAGCATTTGAGACGTTCTGAACTGTGGTGGATGCGATATGCAGAGTGAAATTATGCTATATCCTTATGCACTCAGAAATAATTATATCTACAGTTTGTTCTCAGATAATTCAGTTTAGCTACCAGTTGCATGGGTCTAGGTCAGAAAATCCACTTCCATCACCACCTTTAAAGATGAGATCTTCCAAAGTTTTCATCCAGCTTTTTCGTTTAAGCGCAGACGAGGATGTATCTGTGGCCGTGTAATAGGCAGGACTCAAAGGTGCACAACGCAGGTGAAATAACAAATTCCAGCCTCCAGTGCCCAATACTTCCACTTTGTTACATCCACTCACGTTATCATCCTGACCAAATTTGGCTCTGAAGGGCAAAAGAAAAATGGGGCCGTCCATTGAATGGAGAGGGTGACATGAAGTGATTTTCAGGGCGGTGTGGTGATTTACAGAGGCAATGCCCATCCAAAACTGGTAATTGGAAGGCTAGTACAGGTTGTGTGGATCAGGGCTGCTCTCACTGGCAACTGGAATGAACAGATGCGACACCCCTATTTCTGCTAAATAAGATGAACACTGCAGTGATACATCAATCAGATTCTACCTGTCTACCTGCCCATCCTATTGGGCTCCTCTAACACAGGTAGAAAAGATGGGTACATTTTGGCCAAACTTAATTGAGGCCTCTCAATCTCTCTAAAACCATTTCCAGATATCATGCGTAAACTTAAATATGTTAAGCTGCCATAATATGAATTAATCTGCATGCAACTTGTTGCACAACTTTATTGTAGGACGCTTTGATAAGCACCTGCTTGGAATGTAAATGCAGGACTTAACAGTAAGGATTTTTGTTTCCCGCTTTTATTAGCTGTCTTTAACTACTACTGTATGTAATTACCTCTAAAACAATTATTTGTTTGTTTTAACATACTCATTGTGTTCATGTTGTATTGCAAAACAGATGTCTATGTAATTGCTAGGTAATACATTAATAAAAACACTATGAACAGATGCGACACCCCTATTTCTGCTAAATAAGATGAACACTGCAGTGATACATCAATCAGATTCTACCTGTCTACCTGCCCATCCTATTGGGCTCCTCTAACACAGGTAGAAAAGATGGGTACATTTTGGCCAAACTTAATTGAGGCCTCTCAATCTCTCTAAAACCATTTCCAGATATCATGCGTAAACTTAAATATGTTAAGCTGCCATAATATGAATTAATCTGCATGCAACTTGTTGCACAACTTTATTGTAGGACGCTTTGATAAGCACCTGCTTGGAATGTAAATGCAGGACTTAACAGTAAGGATTTTTGTTTCCCGCTTTTATTAGCTGTCTTTAACTACTACTGTATGTAATTACCTCTAAAACAATTATTTGTTTGTTTTAACATACTCATTGTGTTCATGTTGTATTGCAAAACAGATGTCTATGTAATTGCTAGGTAATACATTAATTACAGATGTAATTATACGCAGGCACTTTTATTTTTATAATTAATATCAGTAAACATTTTTATATTTAATATCAGTACAACATTAAAACATGTATGTACAAAATAAGTGTGTTGTATCAAATTATTAATTTAGATGTTAGTACATCGTTAAATACACTTAAAGTGGGCGCAGATTGGCCAAGTTGGGCTAGTAGTTTAGATTTTTAAATGTACTGTAAACAGTGGCAAGGGACTGGCAAATTTTAGCCAGGGAGAAAAAAAAAAACAGTGTACAATTTTAAAGAACCTCACCTATGTTAGACAGGTGTAACCTGTAACCTTCAAATCAGCAGATTCAGCAGCAATCCTTATTGTTGAGACCTGTAATAAAACAAATGGAACCTTTTTGACTTTTCTGTTATTTGTTCGCAATTAATCTCAAATGACAAGCTTTCTCATTGCTCGTTGTTTTTTTTTTACATAAAAGGTGCTGAGTAAAATATCAGGGGTATTTTTATCGTATTTATATTTAGTGAAACAATCAACAATCTTATTTCAGCCCTATGCTCTCTGGAGGATGAGTTTCCATAGCTCAACTGGTAGAGCATAGCATTAGAAAGGTCAAGGTCACGTGTTCAATCCCAGAGAACACACACACTGATAAAAAAAAGTACCTTAACTGCACCTTTAAGTGGCTGTGGATGAAAGCATCTGCCAAATGGATAAATGTAAATGTTTGTTAAATAATAGGCATGTGAGCAAGTTGAGCCAAGCAGGTCAACTTCCCTCTGTGTGAAAATGGGTAGAGCATAGCATTAGAAAGGTCAAGGTCACGTGTTCAATCCCAGAGAACACACACACTGATAAAAAAAGTACCTTAACTGCACCTTTAAGTGGCTGTGGATGAAAGCATCTGCCAAATGGATGAATGTAAATGTTTGTTAAATAATAGGCATGTGAGCAAGTTGAGCCAAGCAGGTCAACTTCCCTCTGTGTGAAAATTAGCAGTTCCATCGGTTTGTTTGTATGCTTCACTAAGACCCAGATAACTATCTGCAGGTGCCATTTTTGAGGAGAACGCAGCACGGGATGATGAGGTGTTTCAGTTGGCGATCTCTGACCTCAGCCTCAACGATGACATTTTGCAGAGCGAGAAAATCACCCACTCCATAAAATATATCGAACCCAACAACCCCTTTCAGGCAGTCCAGGAAGGTGAGTGAATCATCGTGTTATGTCTCTTGACTCTCGAACTGCATCATTCCCTGACGTGCTAAAAAATTTACATGCAAGTTGTTGTCTGGCGGTTTGAATAACCTTCCAACAAGACACCACTGAGTCGAAATGACACACATCACTAGGGTTTCTGCTTTTGTTCAGAGCGTGCTTACGGCGACCAAAGATGTCTTGAAAATGTATGTGTGTTTGTTTAATGCCAGCATGAAAGGTGACGTTTGGTTTCAAAGACTTCCACCTGAAGCTTCCCCACAGTCTAGTGTCTTCTATGAAAGAAGAGCTAGGTGGAGGTACTGAGTCAAGCTGGACTCAATAACAATTTTCAACATAATTGCAGGTGAGGATGAGTGCTCTGAAGCCTGAGCTTTCCAAAAGATAATTTTGAAAAGCGAGGAAAAAGAGAATTTCTTCTTCTGAATGGCCTAATGGCAGTTAATGATGCCCGATGAAGATATGAAGATGATGGTGATGATGGCAATGATTATTTCCATTAGAAAATATCCTCCATCACAATATTCTGTGACTGGTTTTGAAAATATATCACTGGGATCAATCTCTCTCTGGAGGATGAGTTTCCATAGCTCAACTGGTAGAGCATAGCATTAGAAAGGTCAAGGTCACGTGTTCAATCCCAGAGAACACACACACTGATAAAAAAAAGTACCTTAACTGCACCTTTAAGTGGCTGTGGATGAAAGCATCTGCCAAATGGATAAATGTAAATGTTTGTTAAATAATAGGCATGTGAGCAAGTTGAGCCAAGCAGGTCAACTTCCCTCTGTGTGAAAATGAGCAGTTCCATCGGTTTGTTTGTATGCTTCACTAAGACCCAGATAACTATCTGCAGGTGCCATTTTTGAGGAGAACGCAGCACGGGATGATGAGGTGTTTCAGTTGGCGATCTCTGACCTCAGCCTCAACGATGACATTTTGCAGAGCGAGAAAATCACCCACTCCATAAAATATATCGAACCCAACAACCCCTTTCAGGCAGTCCAGGAAGGTGAGTGAATCATCGTGTTATGTCTCTTGACTCTCGAACTGTATCATTCCCTGACGTGCTAAAAAATTTACATGCAAGTTGTTGTCTGGCGGTTTGAATAACCTTCCAACAAGACACCACTGAGTCGAAATGACACACATCACTAGGGTTTCTGCTTTTGTTCAGAGCGTGCTTACGGCAACCAAAGATGTCTTGAAAATGTATGTGTGTTTGTTTAATGCCAGCATGAAAGGTGACGTTTGGTTTCAAAGACTTCCACCTGAAGCTTCCCCACAGTCTAGTGTCTTCTATGAAAGAAGAGCTAGGTGGAGGTACTGAGTCAAGCTGGACTCAATAACAATTTTCAACATAATTGCAGGTGAGGATGAGTGCTCTGAAGCCTGAGCTTTCCAAAAGATAATTTTGAAAAGCGAGGAAAAAGAGAATTTCTTCTTCTGAATGGCCTAATGGCAGTTAATGATTGACGATGAAGATGATGGTGATGATGGCAATGATTATTTCCATTAGAAAATATCCTCCATCACAATATTCTGTGACTGGTTTTGAAAATATATCACTGGGATCAATCTAAGTGAGCTATTGATGCTGATATAGAGCTACAGGTGACGTTTGGTTTCAAAGACTTCCACCTGAAGCTTCCCCACAGTCTAGTGTCTTCTATGAAAGAAGAGCTAGGTGGAGGTACTGAGTCAAGCTGGACTCAATAACAATTTTCAACATAATTGCAGGTGAGGATGAGTGCTCTGAAGCCTGAGCTTTCCAAAAGATAATTTTGAAAAGCGAGGAAAAAGAGAATTTCTTCTTCTGAATGGCCTAATGGCAGTTAATGATGCCGGGATTGACGATGAAGATGATGGTGATGATGGCAATGATTATTTCCATTAGAAAATATCCTCCATCACAATATTCTGTGACTGGTTTTGAAAATATATCACTGGGATCAATCTAAGTGAGTTATTGATGCTGATATAGAGCTACATTTGCTAAGGTTTTATTTGTCATTCTTCTTCCACTACCATTACTGGGACCTTTATCAACTAGTCTGCAATCATCAAGTACTCACTGTTTTGTCAGTCTACGTGCAGTTTTCCACAGTTCTTTGCTTTCAGTGTAATAGGTGTCTTTCAGGTTTGCTTGGTGAGGTGTTTTATTTCCCACATGTCACCATGTCAATCTGAGGAATAACACAAGCACACTTGGAGAACATCCTTATTCAGACAACACCGTGTGACCTTGCATATGGCACAGGGGAACTTAACACTTTTTAATATAGCTGGTGTTAACATCTAGAATGAAACTGTCTCATTGTATGTTGATTTGTTTTGCACACCAGGGATAAACCTTCATAGTGTCACTGGTGCTTAAAAATATATGATTTGCATATTCAGGAATATATATATATATATGTATGTATATATTCAACCTAGCAATGCTATTGTTTCTGAGACGTGTTTATGGTTCACAATTATCTATTAGCTTTATTTATTTGGAGTTACCACTCAATTGCTCAACATTTTTTGCTACTGGGCCTCTGTTTTTGCGATCATCTGGCAATATCCAGTTATGTTTGATCTTCTGCATGAATGTGTTGTCATGGTGGCTTGGTTGAAATGCAAGGCAGTGCGTAAGTATTTAAGCACAGTGATGCTGTGCTCTCTTGACTGAATGCCCTGTTGATTTTGGCTCTGTGAACAGATTCAAGACCATTCAAGTCAGCAAATAGAGTTATTTTTAGTGGTCACAGTTGCCATCTCAAAATGGCAACAGTAGCCCACGTTGTGTGCAGGGATGTGCCTGCGGAAAGTTAAGCAGCAAAGTGACTTTTTCATTCTATGATGTTAAAGGGTGACTCTGACGAAATCTATCAAGCATGTGTTTGCATCACCAAACTTAACAGAAAGAAATATCACCACAATGCAAAACCTTTTAATTGTCCTAAAATATGCGTAATCATTTAAGCACAGTGATGCTGTGCTCTCTTGACTGAATGCCCTGTTGATTTTGGCTCTGTGAACAGATTCAAGACCATTCAAGTCAGCAAATAGAGTTATTTTTAGTGGTCACAGTTGCCATCTCAAAATGGCAACAGTAGCCCACGTTGTGTGCAGGGATGTGCCTGCGGAAAGTTAAGGCTCATTTTGTTAAGCAGCAAAGTGACTTTTTCATTCTATGATGTTAAAGGGTGACTCTGACGAAATCTATCAAGCATGTGTTTGCATCACCAAACTAACAGAAAGAAATATCACCACAATGCAAAACCTTTTAATTGTCCTAAAATATGCGTAATAATTTTGTTTATATGCAATATTGGAAATAAATTAAAGCTTTTATTCAGTAAGGACACATTCAATTAACACAAAAGAAGATATTTTGAAGAAAGTTGGTAACCAAACAGTTGCTTGTAGCTATTGACTTCCAAATCAGCTTAAAGGCAATACAACATATTAAAATGATAACCATTGTAACATATTAACTAGGGTTGTAGCTATCGATTATTTTAGTAATCAAGTATTCTACAGATTATTCCATCGATTAATTGAGTAATCGGATAAGAAGTATTTTTTTCTTTATTAAAGAGCAATACTAAATATACACGAGATAATAAGATAGATCTCTTAAAATAAACAACAAATTTGTTTTCTTTAAAAAAAAAAGTACATTTTTATTGCTGAAATTGCATACAGTAATAACCGTGAAAACTAAACCCATTTAATGTATTTAATTGCCAAATTGCATTCAAAATGCAAATACAAATATATCAATAAAAAAATAGAACGAATAAATAAAAATACAAAAATCAATTTCACATTACTTTAAAAAAGGTAAACAGTACAAACTAAAACTAAGGCATAAATCAAAATAATAGTAATAAAAATAATAATAATACCTAAACATTGCATTTATGTTGTGCAACTTAACTTTCAAGTTTCAGCCTAACTAAAGTTCAAGCATGACATGAGCCTTTACTGTCTTCTTGGAAGGCTTTGTGGCTTTTGTGAGAGGCAAAAATCAGTGGACAGGAAGGTAACTTGAAACAAGAACAAGAGACCATACACGATTTTTAAACAAATTTTTCTGCAACATGAAATTAGGGTTATTTGGAGAATAAACCCTCTTAAATGTCCCTATACATACTGGTGTGTGTGTGTGTGTGTGTGAAACTTGTTTTTGATATCCTTCATTTTCTGTGTACTGGTTCACAGCAGTGATAGAAATTAATCTGTTCCAATAAGTTTAAATAGATTTTTACATTTTATGGGCATTTTTACCTTTATAAAGCCTTTTTTTCTAAAAGTGTGCATCATCTTTTGTATCAATTTCTTACGTTTAATCAGTCAATTAGAATAAAAGACATTTGGGTTGTTACCAAATTATATCAGTATCAAAATTCATCTTTGCAATGCAGAGGAAACACAGAAGCTGCATGGGATGGATTTCCCACACAGAGGGACATTAATGCATTTAAGCTGCAGTTACAAATGCATAAATAATATTTTGTTATTTTAAACATAAAACATTGAATACTGATATTTAAAATTATTTTAAAAACGAAAAGATACTTTAAATGTGAAATTAAAACCGCCATTAGGTGGCAGCATGTCACTGTTAATAAGTGATTAATTGCGATTGAACCAAATCATTTAAACGGGTGATTCATTCGGGAACGAAATGCCGTCATGTTGCACAGAGACGCAAAACAGCGCTGTGGCTGTGTTTGGAATTTTTTGTTGGCAAAATAAAGCAAAAACAGGCAATATAGTGTCTAAAACGTAAGTTTCATTATATTAACTTCTTGTTTATTGAACTGTTGAATAAAATCACATTTGTAATCATGCTGATTTTAGAAGTGAAAACTGGCACTCCTCGTGTGATATTGACTAACTTTCTTTCTGTGGTATTTTTATGCGCAATGGCGTTTAGTCTTTCCTAAAACATAGCTAACGTAGGGACATTATAACTACCCACCATATTGATTTATGGTCTTAAATATGTCCAGCGGTTTTTTTTTTTAAAGGCTGGTCCCTGTTTTTATACAGTCTATGGTCTGGTCCAGCGTTTATTGGGTTGTGCATCAGTAATAATGGTCCGTGGGGAAACACGGTGTTCCATGTGTAGTTACAGTAAATTAACTAAACGAAGTTGCCTCTATGATTTTTTGTATTCGAGTTACTCGAGGTATTCGAGGAATCGTTTCAGCCCTAATATTAACACATATTACAATTTCTGTGGCGTTTGGGGTGAAATATGATCCAGGCATGCTTTCCTGAGATTCAAATTCAGTTCTTAACACGAGAAAGTAACATCATTGAATTTTTCACTCCTCAAGATTTTACTTTCTGTGTGCCCAATACAGAATAATGTGATGTAGTCAAATAGTGTATTACAGAATCATCGGCTGGTATGACTATGAGCTTCACATCAATAATAGAGGAAATTCCTGTGAATTGTTCATTGCATCCGTGCCTATTGCCTGATTATATTGCCTGAAGTTGATCTTAGATTAATACTTTACCCCCTTTTGAATTTTTATTACTTGCAGCGTGTTTCTTTATAATTGACAAATGTGTTATAGTTTCATGCTGTATCCTCAGTCTCTCATTTTATACTCAACACCGAGTGTAAAACCTACTACAGAAACAAATGGAGATGGTGTAATGAAACCCACTAGATGAATCCCACAAGGTTTTTCATGGGGTTGGGATGTCAATAAAGATTTGGAGCTTTACCTGAACTGAACTCTTTCACAAAAGAGTATGAAATGCCCCAAACCTCTCCAGATTCTCTAAATGCAATAGGACCTTTTATTTATTGTAGCATAGTTGTTTTCATAGTCTCTCTTTCTTTGTTAGTTAACTGTGTAATAGCACTCCAATTGGTTTATTATTGGAAAAGCAATAGCATAGATTTATGTCTTCTTTATATCTTCTGATTTGTGTCACAACTGCATCTAAATACGGTTGTGACTAAGTGCTGATTAAAAGAATAGTTCACCCAAAAAT